AAAAAAAATTGTGCAGAAGCGTGGTATCGATCAAATTATATAAATCAAAATTTAATACGATTATTATTTCATGTTTAACTACTAAGATATTAAAGAGAAGAAGAAAAATTTTACCGTTGCTAATCTTGAACTCTTCTAACACCGTCTTGAGCTAAGGAGACGTTTGGTTTATAGATTAGAACCATTTTCAATTTACGTGTATTTTTTATGAGAGAAAATACTGTAACGTACCACGAATCATAATTCAAATTAGAGAACGAATCTCCTAACCAAATAACCTCTTAAATTTCAAGAACAATATTGTTCTTTATCAACGTATCTCCAAATTAATATAAACTTAAATGAGTGAACGTTCTAATAAATTTCTCTAACACATAAAATTTGTGAATTAAAAAAATCACCTATAATTATCATTCACTTCTCTAAAAAAATATGTAATAACACTCAAAATATTTTTTTTGTTTTTCTTTTTCTTCTCCTGTATCTTTTTTTTCTTTCTCTGGAAATCTCTTTTTATTTCCTGAATTTAAATGCACGCATTTCCGTGCAAGTTTAAATTGGGAAACGTGCTTGCACGTTTCCCCACTTACTCTCCCCTCTTTTTTTTTTTAATTTTTATTTGAGGAAACGTGCTCATGCGCACGTTTCCTCTCCTTTCTTTATATATATAGTGCAAGAAAATTTTTTTCTCTTTCTATAAAAGTCTAGATTCATTCATATTAATTTAAAATAATTTTAAATTAATGTTAATATTAATTAATTAAATAAATTAATATTTATATTTAAAATTCTCAATTCGAAATTAATAACCATAACCCAATATGTTATATATATATATATATAAATAGTTCACATTAATCTTTTAGAGCCGTTGAGATGAATTATGGACATTATAATTTTAAGTTTTAATAATTTTTTATAATTAATTAACACCTTAATTAATATATCAAAATTATTAATTCAAAATTACTCCACTATAAATTTAGAATTGGACTCTTAAAATTATAAAACAATTATGTTCACAGAATTTGTGTTGTCCATTGATATAGTCACTATATACGATATGATCCTCCATAAACGGTTCATAATTAAAGTTAGGTATTTTTCGTTGACCTCTTTAATTATTTCTTTCTCCATAAGTACCATTGATCCTCTAATGAATAATATATTTTAGGGAGAAAGAGAGAAATAGGCCAAGACTTAAGATGAATTAAAATTAATAGACCAATAGTTTACATAAGTTAATAAATAGGCCAAATTACTATTTTCATCCATAACTTGTCTGATTATAAACCATAACTTGACAAGTTTGTCCATAACTTATCTAGTTATGAACCATAACTTGACAAGTTATGTCCTATTAATTTCTATAACTAAAAATTGGCCTATATACTTTCTTAAACTTTTCATATTGGCCTATTTTCTACTATTTTCCTATATTTTTATGATCCAATCATAAAATTGAGCGCTCTTATTATTCAAGTCTCGAATTAACACTTATGGGAACCGCCCATCTACTTCATTATGAAGGAATGGATTTCATCTTGTAAATTAATATTTCCGGCTATTTATTTTACTATGCTCCCAATATACTAAGACTTTGACACTATTCACATGTGTCATTACTCAATATGTCAAAGAACATAATATCACAAATATGAGTCTATTAATTACTCAGAATTAAGATTAATTCATATATGACAATCATTGATTAATATTGAATACTCTATTTAATAACGGAATTTATTAGAGCTTCATAATTAATCGTGTTCCGGTCCTACGTAATCATATGCCATAAAATGCTTTCATTCTAATAATCTCATTACAATCTATGATAAGATTGTTTCATTCAGAATGTAATGAACCGTATTAGTAATTTTAAATTAATGATCCTAACTTTAATTTATAATTACGGACAAGTTTAGATTATTTTACTTCAAACACTATCCTCTGCATATAACACTTATATACAATGTTTAAAGTTACATCTAAAATAATTTAGGGATTTTGATATTTATAAAACAAAACATGCATGCAAAATAATATTGAAAAACTTCCTCATTTCATTGATAATCAGTAAAATATTTACATCTTATTTAATTTATGAGTATATATCTCAACATGTTTTATACTGTAATATATAAAAGTAGAAGTGTAACATAATATTTTCATGATAATAACCTAAAAAGAAAAATACAGCATTACTTTTCAATAGATAAACTTTTGCTTCCTAAAAAAAATATAGATAAACTTTTTCTTATTAAACCTTTAAAATATTATTGTTAAATAGAATAGATGTTAAGTTACACTTTCACATGTAACGCAAAGATTTTAGCGCTTTGCTATGATTACATTCTCATTAGTGTATTCCAATAAAATATAATAAAAAGAACGTGCTATGTGTTTTTTTATCAAAATTCCACCATGTATTTTTCAGGAATGCTACAACTATTTCTAATATTATTCCAAGCTCACAATTGAATAACTTTTGTTTGGAACTTAACTGTGTTTGGTTGGTGGGAGAGATTGAGGAATAGAGAGGGGTGGAATGAAAGAGATAGAAGGAGAGATTCAATCTATTGTTTGGTTGGAAGAAAGAGAGGAGGGAGAGAGATCCACCAAATCAATAAGCAAAAAATAAATTCGAACATGTATATTTCTTCCCATTTTCATTTTTTATTTTATTTAATGAATAAGCATTTTCCTCAAAATATTTCTTCCATACTTGTCATTCGGCACACTAGCCAATCTTCACCGAAACATTAGCAAAAATTCACATGACTCTGTTTATTGGGCGATTCATTAAATAGGAAAGGTATTATTTTTATCCTAGAAATAATCCATTGATAAATATTAAATATAAACACCTTTATCAAAATTAGTGAATGTAGCACTAAAAATACTACAATCATGCATTGACCAAGTTGAAAATCACATGCTATAACAGGTAAATTTCATCCATTCATTCCTTGCTAAAAATGTTCTAATTTTCAAATTATATGTAAATTTTACAACGCCAAGGACCTAATATTTATTTATTTTTCAATTAAAAAAATGTTGCATTCAATTGGGCGAAGGCCGGAAGTTACGGATGTGGTTGATGGAAATAGGTCCGAAATGTAATAAAATATTTGGTTTTGAGTATTCATTGATTTATATACCTTTGAAGTGTCTAAATCATCACTAAAGTCTCGTTGTAAGAGATGAACAATATATAAGCTGAGAGCCATGATTTATGCATGGAATAATTTAGGATTAAGATAGAAGGATGTAGGATTGCTGCATGACCACCTATTGAAACGCATGCATTTTCCATAGTATTAATCCTCAACAGTTGGTGTATATAATAATGATAATTAGATAATTGCATCCCACAAAATCATCCTCAAACAAACTTAGTGATGCCTATTCTGCATTTGGACGAGCAGGGCTGAAATATGACCCCCATAGTCCACAAAGAATCTCAACCAACTGATCTTTAGAGCGGAATCTAGATTTTCTTTGAAACCTAAGTCTCTCCACCAACTATCAATGAAAATGAAAACATGTCAAACATTTGTCTCAAGTCTTTTGAGCTCTTGCTGACACACAGATTGTAGTCCAACTTGGCTAACTCATGCAAAGTCGGACTGTTTATAGTATCAAGTTGGCAAAGATCAGTGGAGATTCGAGCTTCAACTCACGGCACCTTCCAATGCCAGGGGAGTTTCCGTTGACTGCTGTACCTGATTAGCTAAGAACTTTCCATTCCCTCAATTGAGGAATGTTTCAGCTTCTTTGTGGTGAAACTCTAGGCTTCCTCCAAAATCTGCTCCTAGCATTCCAAGGTAGGAGGCTTCATATAAACTCGAAGTCCCTCCACATCGCAGTGGCTTATGAGTTGTGAAAAGAACAATGCAATAAACTCTCAAAGAATCTTCCATCCCGGCCCCTCTGAATCTGTCAAATACGTCTATTTGACACTGATAAAGATAACTGAGTTTGTCACTTAAAACTATTTGAGATAATTAAACAAAGCCCTGGGGCTGCTTCTTATAGATATGTGGAATCTTGCATCAAGCTAACTGATAAACCATGTTCTCTTAAAACATGATATTTCAGAGCCGTCATTTGGAGATCGTTACTAGTAAATTCATCTTGATAAACCCGAGTAATACTCTCTTGTATATCATCTTCGAAGTGATATGCAGTTCTGCGTCGAATCAATGAACTTCCAAGTCTTCAAGAGAAGAAGAGGGTTCAGTTCTTAGTGACCAGCTAGTAATTTGCTTCAAATATTTTAGTCAACCAGCATGTAACTCGTAATGCAAGAAAGAAAGAAAAACATCTGACATGCTTAAACGTTTTAGCATTATAATTAAGATGATATCTAAGCGCTTACAGGAAATTAGTTGAAACAATTGAACTCCTAGTGTTGGAAGTAACAAAAGACTCTTTGGTTACCCAAATCGTATTGATCTCTGTTTTTTCAATGAAAGTGGAAAAGTCCATGACCACGAGGCGTACAAAGCAGAAGCCATTATTTCCACTAGGGAACCTTTTTCTTTTTTTCTCTTCTGGTTCCCCTTGTACACATGATGAAGTAAAACCAACACAGACAAAATTGGAAGCCACTACGCAAGTGATAGATTCTTATGGTTCAAACGTGCACAGTATGTGTTAAAAAAAAAAAAAAAAAAAAAAAAAAAAAAAAAAAAGATAAAATGAAACGAGTACGTGAAGAGTGACAACTCTTCAGATGCATGCTCTATCCGATGTACTCCTAGTCCCCACCATAGTTTGTGGAGATCAAAAGATGAATCAGAAAACACAAATTGAAAAGAACACATCTTCATTATATTGTTCTTTTTTTTTTTTTTTTTGGCTGATTACCGCCAGATCAAGCCCCGACCACTTGCAGTGCCAATTTAGGTCTTAAAAAGTCTTCGTTAAATTAACTAACCAGTTCACAATTGGCAGTCGCCGCTTTTGTTATTTAGAAGATTTACACACATCAGAAAGATACATAAGAAAAAGACTTGCATATATTAATTTAGGAATCCAAAATGTAGAGTAATCCACAGAAACAAAAGTCCACATACTATGGCATCAGATGAGTATTACATAGTCATCAACAAAATTTTAGTACTTGAAAAAAAATAATAAAAACCTTAGATTAAACCCAAAGGAAAACAACCTTTCCCAAGTATAAAACCAGCAATAGTAATCCATCAACCAAAATATTTCCCCTGTTTCAAGAAAATTAACCAAAAAAACAGAAGCGAGAAACTTTTCTTTACCAACTTCATACGGACCTCTTCAGAACGCCCAAAACCAGTTCAGCCTGTTCTTGACTCAGATGAGCTTTACGAACGAAAAGCCCCAGTTCTTCAATCTGCAACTCTCTCCACTTCTTATCAATCTTCTCCAATTTCGAAGTCTCAACCAATGGCAAAGATATCTTAAACTCGGAAGAAAAACATGATTCCAGAGACTTGTTCAAGTGAGGATATTTATCCCAGAACTCTTCTTCTTCCTCTCCCTCTTCGTCTGCTTCTTCTTCTTCTTCTTCATCTTCATCTTCCTCCTCCTTTTCAACCCTCACCTTACCATTAGCCTCCACTTGCTCCCTCTTCTTCTTCTCTTTCTTCACAGACATTTCCTTGTTCGGCAAAGCCAGGACTGTCGTGGTGCTCTTACTCACCGGCGTGCTCGGCACTGGCGTCTTCAATCTACTTCTGCTCTTCAAATCGCTGTCTTCGACATTATTGCCATTAGGGCTTTTGTTAGCCCCAATTCCCCAAATCTTCTTCGAGAGCTTGAAGGACAGGAGCTCATGGGGCTTCGAGAAGACGGGGTCTTCGTCGTTCTCGCCCTTGGCGGCGTTGTTGAGATACTTCTTCTTAAGCCTCCTGATCTTATCCACCAGTTGGCTCTTCGAAACGTCGGCGTTTAAGCTCTTCTTGATGAAATCATGGAAAGCCCCCATGTCGGCGTAGGGATCAGCGCCCTTCTTGGCCTTGTAATCGGTCATCCCTTTGAGGACGGCGATCTCGTCGTCCTCGCTCCACACCCGCGCAAATCCCAACGACTTCTTCGAATCCTCCTCGTCTCCGCCGCCTTTGGAAGCGGTGACGGAGGCGGAGGCGGAGGTCACCTTCCTCTTCTTCTTGCGCTTGGAGTCCTTCTCGCTGGTCTCGCTCTCCGGATCCTCCGACTCCGTAGCGCGCTTGTTGGGCCTCACCGAGGATTTCTTCTTGTGCTTGTCGGCGGTGTCGTCCATGGGCCTGGACACGATGGGCTTGATCGTGAAGCCCGACAGAGACGGCGACGGAGGAGTGTCGTCCGATTCCGTATCCGAACCGGACCCGGAGTCGTCGGACTTCGAAACTGTGGGCTTCTTCACAGGAGATTCATCTTCTTCTGCTTCGTCGCCTCCAGATTTTTCTTCCTCATCATCGGCTCCTGCGGAGCCGTTTTCGTTGCCTTTTCCGTTTTTTTCCTCGTTGTCGGCGGGATCGCTTTCGTATTCGTCCTCCAACGAGGAATCGGCAGGCGGGGGTTTCTCAAAGAGGCGTTTCGGAGCCATTGAGAAAGCCGATCAGAGTAAGAGTAAGAAAAGAGGAGCTTTGAGGAACAAGAAGCTGAAACGTGAGAAGGATGAGTCGGACACGAGAAATTGACCTGATATAGAGGGCGAGTTTATAGTAGGTTTTGTAGTCAAGTTTTTGTCCGACGTTTCGTTTACTTGTGCCCTTGTGGGTCCAATTGCGGCCCATTAGAGTGGGACCCACGACCCTGTGTATTAAAATTCGACCAAAGACTCTGTTCTACCTCATCTCAAATTCGAATTTTATTACAATAAATAATTTTAATTTTTTAGTTTATTATAAAATTTTTATATAAAATCAAATTTTTATTTGAATTAAAAATTTGATGGCCCTTAATTCACGGACCTAGATTTTCTTTTTCTCTTCTTAACTTAGGAGTACGAGACAAATATTTTTTTGGGAGAATGAATAGTCAATAGGAGAAAATTAATATTGCACTGGATTTATTTACGATTAAATTTGATAATTAATATTTTTTAGAAGAAGACTAATTTTAATAAATTAAAGATTTTTTTAGATTTATTCCGTAACCATAATTGATAAATTTCAAAATGTATCCATTCAAAACAGGTAGATGAAAATCACATGCTATAACAGGTAAATTTCATCCATTCATTCCTTGCTAAAAATGTTCCAATTTTCAAATTATATGTAAATTTTACAACGCCAAGGACCTAATATTTATTTATTTTTAAATTAAAAAAATGTTGCATTCAATTGGGGAAGACCGGAAGTTACAGATGTGGTTGATGGAAATAGGTCCGAAATTTGTAATGAAATATTTGGTTTTGAGTATTCATTGATTTATATACCTTTGAATCATCACTAAAGTCTCGTTGTAAGAGATGAACAATATATAAGCTGAGAGCCATGATTTATGCATGGAGTGATTTAGGATTAAGATAGAAGGATGTAGGATTGCTGCATGACCACCTATTGAAACGCATGCATTTTCCATAGTATTAATCCTCAACAGTTGGTGTATATAATAATGATAATTAGATAATTGCATCCCACAAAGTCATCCTCAAACAAACTTAGGCCTCGTTCACTTTGCTGATTCGAGTTTAGAATTCGAGTTTTTCTACAGTAAAAAGTTCTCACAAACAATCACATCTAACTTTTTTGCTACATTAAAAAGCTCTCACATAAAATCACATCTCAACTCGAATTCTAAACTCGAATCAGCGAAGTGAACGGAGCCTAGTGACGCCTATTCTGCATTTGGACGAGTAGGGCTGAAATATGACCCCCATAGTCCACAGAAGAATCTCAACCAACTGATCTTTAGAGGGGAATCTAGATTTTCTTTGAAACCCAAGTCTCTCCACCAACTATCAATGAAAATGAAAACATGTCAACATTTGTCTCAAGTCTTTTGAGCTCTTGCTGACACACAGATTGTAGTCCAACTTGGCTAACTCATGCAAAGTCGGACTGTTTATAGTAACAAGTTGGCAAAGATCAGTGGAGATTCGTACTTCAACTCACGGCACCGTCCAATGCCAGGGGAGTTTCCGTTGACTGCTGTACTTGATTAGCTAAGAACTTTCCATTCCCTCAATTGAGGAGTGTTTCAGCTTCTTTGTGGTGAAACTCTAGGCTTCCTCCAAAATCTGCTCCTAGCATTCCAAGGTAGGAGGCTTCATATAAACTCGAAGTCCCTCCACATCGCAGTGGCTTATGAGTTGTGAAAAGAATAAGGCATTAAACTCTCAAAGAATCTTCCATCCCGGCCCCTCTGAATCTGTCAAATACGTCTATTTTACACTGATAAAGATAACTGAGTTTGTCACTTAAAACTATTTGAGATAATTAAACAAAGCCCTGGGGCTGCTTCTTATAGATATGTGGAATCTTGCATCAAGCTAACTGATAAACCATGTTCTCTTAAAACATGATATTTCAGAGCCGTCATTTGGAGATCGTTACTAGTAAATTCATCTTGATAAACCCGAGTAATACTCTCTTGTATATCATCTTCGAAGTGATATGCAGTTCTGCGTCGAATCAATGAACTTCCAAGTCTTCAAGAGAAGAAGAGGGTTCAGATTTTAGTGACCAGCTAGTAATTTGCTTCAACTCTTTCAGTCAACCAGCATGTAACTCGTAATGCAAGAAAGAAAGAAAAACATCTGACATGCTTAGATGGTTTAGCATTATAATTAAGATGATATCATCTAAGCGCTTACAGGAATTTTAGTTGAAACAATTGAACTCCTAGTGTTGGAAGTAACAAAAGACTCTTTGGTTTCCCAAATCGTATTGATCTCTGTTTCAATGAAAGTGGAAAAGTCCATGACCACGCGGCGGACAAAGCAGAAGCCATTATTTCCACTAGGGAACCTTTTTCTTTTTTTCTCTTTTGGTTCCCCTTGTATGAAGTAAAACCAACACAGACAAAATTGGAATCCGCTACGCAAGTAACGCAAGTGATAGATTCTTCAGATGCATAAAATGAGAAAAAATGAGAAAAAAGATAAAATGAAACGAGTACGTGAAGAGTGGCAACTCTTCAGATGCATGCTCTATCCGATGTACTCCTAGTCCCCACCATAGTTTGTGGAGATCAAAAGATTAATCAGAAAACACAAATTGAAAAGAACACATCTTCATTATATTGTTCTTTTTTATTTTTATTTTTGGCTGATTACCGCCAGATCAAGCCCCGACCACTTGCAGTGCTAATTTAGGTCTTAAAAAGTCTTCGTTAAATTAACTAACCAGTTCACAATTGGCAGTCGCCGCTTTTGTTATTTAGAAGATTTACACACATCAGAAAGATACATAAGAAAAAGACTTGCATATATTAATTTAGGAATCCAAAATGTAGAGTAATCCACAGAAACAAAAGTCCACATACTATGGCATCAGATGAGTATTACATACTCATCAACAAAATTTTACTTCCAAAAAATATATATATAAACCTTAGATTAAACCCAAAAGAAAACAACCTTTCCCAAGTATAAAACCGGCAATAGTAATCCATCAACCAAAACATTTCCCCTGTTTCAAGAAAAATAACCAAAAAAACAAAAGCGAGAAACTTTTCTTTACCAACTTCAAACGGACCTCTTCAGAACGCCCAAAACCAGTTCAGCCTGTTCTTGACTCAGATGAGCTTTACGAACGAAAAGCCCCAGTTCTTCAATCTGCAACTCTCTCCACTTCTTATCAAGCTTCTCCAATTTCGAAGTCTCAACCAATGGCAAACATATCTTAAACTCGGAAGAAAAACACGACTCCAGAGACTTGTTCAAGTGAGGATATTTATCCCAGAACTCTTCTTCTTCCCCTCCCTCTTCGTCTTCTTCTTCTTCTTCTTCATCTTCATCTTCATCTTCCCCCTCCTTTTCAACCCTCACCTTACCATTAGCCTCCACTTGCTCCCTCTTCTTCTTCTCTTTCTTCACAGACATTTCCTTGCTCGGCAAAGCCAGGACTGTCGTGGTGCTCTTACTCACCGGCGTGCTCGGCACTGGCGTCTTCTTGCTACTTCTGCTCTTCAAATCGCTGTCTTCGACATTATTGCCATTAGGGCTTTTTTTAGCCCCAATTCCCCAAATCTTCTTCGAGAGCTTGAAGGACAGGAGCTCATGGGGCTTCGAGAAGACGGGGTCTTCGTCGTTCTCGCCCTTGGCGGCGTTGTTGAGATACTTCTTCTTAAGCCTCCTGATCTTATCCACCAGTTGGCTCTTCGAAACGTCGGCGTTTAAGCTCTTCTTGATGAAATCATGGAAAGCCCCCATGTCGGCGTAGGGATCAGCGCCCTTCTTGGCCTTGTAATCGGTCATTCCTTTGAGGACGGCGATCTCGTCGTCCTCGCTCCACACCCGCGCAAATCCCGACGATTTCTTCGAATCCTCCTCGTCTCCGCCGCCATTGGAAGCGGTGACAGAGGCGGAGGCGGCGGCGGAGGTGACCTTCCTCTTCTTCTTGCTCTTCGAGTCCTTTTCGCTGGTCTCCCTCTCCGGATCCTCCGACTCCGTAGCGCGCTTGTTAGGCCTCGCCGAGGATTTCTTCTTGGGCTTGTCGGCGGTGTCGTCCATGGGCTTCGACACGATGGGCTTGATCGTGAAGCCCGACAGAGACGGCGACGGAGGAGTGTCGTCCGATTCCGTATCCGAACCGGACCCGGAGTCGTCGGGCTTCGAAACCGTGGGCTTCTTCACAGGAGATTCATCTTCTACTTCTTCGTCGCCTCCAGATTTTTCTTCCTCATCATCGGCTCCTGCGGCGCCGTTTTCGTTGCCTTTTCCGTTTTCTTCCTCGTTCTCGGCGGAATCGCTTTCATCTTTGTCCTCCGACGAGGAATCGGCAGGTGGGGGCTTCTCAAGGAGGCGTTTCGGAGCCATTGAGAAAGCCAATCAGAGAGATTAAGAAAAGAGGGGCTTTGAGGGACAAGAAGATGAAACGTGAGAAAGATGAGTAAGCCAAGAGGAATTGACCTTATATAGAGGGCGAGTTTATAGTAGGGTTTTGAGTCAAGTTTTTGTCCGACGTTTCGTTTACTTGTGGGTCCAATTGCGGCCCATAGAGTGGGACCACGACCCTCGTGTATTAAGATTTCGTTTATTTAATCACTTGAATTTTGGGTTTTAAATTTTTATAGTTAAAAATTTGTTATAAAATATAATATTTAATTTTTTTTTATACAATAAAAAATTTAAAAAAAATATTACATTTTAATTTAAATTAAAATTTTAAATTTATGAAGTAAATGATGCCCAAAATTTAACCACAAATTCGGTTCAAAAAATTTTTATATAAAATTATATTTTAAATTAAATTAAAAATCTGACAAGACTTAATTCACAGGCCTAAATTGTCTTTTTCTCTTCCTAACTTATGAGGACGAGGCAAATAATTTTTTGGGAGAATGAATAGTCAATAAAAGAATATTAAGTGGACGTTTATTTTTTATATTTATTTTTTATTTTGACTTATAATTTGTGATTTTTTAAAGTATTTTTTTAATAAAAAATATACGTAAAATAAGAATAATTTTTAATCATTATTTTGAATTTATGAACTAAACGTTCACAATATTACTCTGAATTTATTTATGATTATTTGGTAATTAATATTTTTTAGAAGAAGACTAATTTTAATAAATTAAGGATTTTTTTTTTTAGATTTATTCCGTAACCATAATTGATAAATTTCAAAATGTTTCCCAATTACTCCAAATTTGGAATTTTCCGGATTCACTCCAAAAAGCCGCAAGTAAATATTTGATAAAATTCAATGTTTACACACTTTGTTTTCACAACATTTACTAATTCTTTTGTTCGATAAATTCATATTTTTACTCTTAAAATCTTCTTTTTAATTTCAAAAATGCTATTTTATTAACAATTATAGTAAATAAGTTATTTACTGCCATTAAAATTCAAAATTATGATATTAGCTACAAGTCCACACTTTTTTTTTTTGAGTGACCAAAACACCTTCATATACTAAAGAGTCTTTGCATTAAGCTATAACTCGTTACATGATTTAAAAAAAATACATGGAGATGCCTAAAGAGATAAACAAAAGCTTCATGGCATGTTTACTTACCAGGATGGAAGAATATGAGTGAAGAATGAGAGTCAATCACATGTTTACTTGCTCTTTTTTATTCTAGAATGAGAGTGAGATTGGTGGGTCCCACTCAAATTTGGGATTGGCACTCCCATGCCCCCCTTGGGATTGAGATTCTCATTCCTAATATTAATATTAATTTACTATCATACCCTTATTTTACTTATAAATACACAATTAAAAATAAAATTCAAAAAATAATAAATGCAACATATATTTATTATTTTATTTGCCTAATATTATAATATTAGCATAATTATTGTTAACTTTAATAAAATAAATACGTACTTTATTTTTAAATAAATTAATAATATATTTTATTTTTTAACACTATTTTTTATTTTATTTAAATTTTTTTAAAATTTATTTTTATATTTTAAATAGTTGTACAATTTATATTTATTATTTTAGTACCCAATTATTACACTAAATATTTTAATTGTGATTACTTTTAATATAATAAGTACACAATATATTTTTTAAATTGGAAATATCAAATTGATTTTTAAAGGGTATATTAGTACTTTTACACTTTTTTATTTCGATTATGGGCGTAAATAAACGTATGAATGAGATTTAGAATGACTCCGATTCTGAATCCTATCACTAAAGTAAACAGCTTATTCTGACTCCAATTCCTCACTCCGAATCCTACCCACTCCGAATCCTGCCCACTCCGATTCATGTTCATTCTGATTATGCGTAAGTAAACATGCCATCATTTCAGGCCTATTAGAAGCTCGTTTATGAGGAAGGAGATTTAGAATGAAGAAGAGGAATAATGAATTAGTGGCAGGATTTTAGAGGTCATGGTTGTTTGCTTGGACCAAAAAGATTAACTAATAAATTTGACGAGGGATTTCAAATCCATCAAACAGCTTAAATTTTAAACAGAAAAAAAAAACTTAAATTTTAATCATTTTCCAATATAAAGGTATCAATTAAGGGAACTCGTACTGAACATAATTAATTAAGGGATATCTTTCATCTTCCTTATCTCGGTTATTACCTTTTTTCTTCTTTTTCCTTCTCATTTTATTTTCCACTTACTAAGCACACCTAAGGCCAATTAGAGATGTCAAACGTGCCGTGCCGACCCGGCACGTCTGACTCCAGGTCTGTGGCGGATTTAGGTCATGCATAGCACGACTCTGCACAGTACAAAATCGTGTCAGGGCCGGGCCTGAGGAGAAAATCTCAGGCTCGATTCAGGCCCGCGACCTTAGTTCATAAGAGCCAAGGCCGAGCCTGGGCCCAGACCCTTCACGGGCCGGCCCTAGTCCTTGTAATTTTTTTTTTCAAAATTTAATTAAAAAAAAGATAATATATCATATGCCATAAAAAAATGTGATTTTATTAAATTGATATAATACGAATAAGTACACATAAATGATTGTCTTATTAAAAATCTTGTCAAGTAAAACCCGTGGGGAGATCGGGACTAAACCTTAGCGAAGGAAAAAATAGTGCAGTATTCTAGGAATAGTAAATTACAAAACCTAAGTGCTTATAGAAGATTCTGTTATTTCTAAGTTAGAAAAATAGTCTTGCATTAAATCATCCGTGTATTGTTGTTTTCGTCTTGTAGCATCTTTCCAGTCTTTAACGCACATTAGCCCCTCTAAGATATTTGGATGCATTTTGCTTCTCTTCTCGTCAAGAATTCGGTTGCTTGCACTAAATGCTTGCTCCGATGCTACCGTTGACACTGGAGTTGTTAGAATGTCACGTGCTATTACGGACAGTGTTGAAAAATGATCGGTCTTACTCTTCCACCATTGTAAGATGTCTAGTTTGTCGTCATCGATTACAAAATTGGCTTCAAAATATTTTACCAGTTTGGTAGACGCTTGTGTTGATGACGATCATGCCGTTTTCTCTTTCTTCTTCAAGAAACTCCACGACGATCCTTTAGGCCCCGAACTACTAGTTGACGTCGAAGTTCCCTGTTCTTTTTGACGTGTTGTATTTTGCTTCATACAAACCAAATACATTTTCTAACATTTTCTTAACGTCAGTAATAGTTAGTTGCGTATCAATACCTAAATTTTCTACTGTAGCAGTCATCAATGGGTATTTATAGGGAATTTTTGGGGGTTTTTTCAGATTGTGACCGTTGGGCCCTTCGCGGGCCCAACGGTCACAATCCTCACGGGCTGGGGCGTGTTTTCGCGGGCCGTTTTGCGGGCCTGGGCCAGACCGAACAAGGACAGAATCCGAGCTTGGGTTGAATTGGGCTTGGGCCAGGCCGCAAGCCTTCACAGGCTATGGTCGGGCTTGGGCCGTAGGCTGAGAAGCCGAGGCCCAGCCCTAGCCCATCAAACGTGTCGAGCCAACACGGCCCGTAACAGTATCATACCGGGCCGTGCCAAATCCGGCACTGTTACGGCCTGGGCGGGCCATCCATAAACGGCTCTCAGCCCATTTGACACCACTAAGGCCAATGAACCTTGAACAGGTACACCCGAGTCCCAAGATAATAACAAACACTTTCATCATGGGACTCAAATTGAGATGGTTTATCTACCAAACTACTTATGAATAACATCAATGTCATTAAACTATCAAAGTAGTAAAGCCTAAAATTTTATCATGGTCTTAAAGCTGAACGTAAAGTTTTTTTTTTTCAAAATTTTATAATTGAGAATAAAAATTTATCAAATAGTGCGCAGTTCCATACCAGCAAATTTTCATCAAATTTGACGTGCTTTGACGGTCAGAACCTATGCATCACCGGTAGTGTGTGTACAACATAACGAAATTGGCATTTTTTTCTGAGAAACATCAAGAAGTAACCAAAAAAAAAAAAATCAAGAAGTAAGATTCTCGTAGAAGGTAACAAAAGCAACAAACTATGGACTAAAAATGTCAAGAATTAGATTCTTTGTACGGAAGTTAATGAAGAAAAGTAGTCAAAGATGACAAAAGTTACATTGGCGTTGGAGAACTTGGGCAAAGTTTTCCTGTACATCTGAAATTCTTTTTTTTTTTTTTTGTACTTTAAGAGGGACTTGGTAATGCAGCTTGATCGCTTTCAATTAGAATACTCTTTAACCAGAAGAGTTTTGATACGTCAAAAACTGAAATGCAATCCTCATATGATCTGTTGTTGATAGAAATGAGATATGGACTAATTCTGCAAAGTGTTATCTGGTCGTCATGCAGCCAAGAATTTAGCGGCACCTGAAACAAATGCAGCAAAAAAAAAAAAAAAAAAGGACGTAGTAAGGAAAAGCAATGTTAAGCTTCAGCTCTTACTGATCTGCCTTTATGTTCACTAGACAACAACAAATCTTTTTCTCTACCACAACAAAGAAATATGTCTCTAGATTTATCAGAATTTATGACATTGTTGCAGTGCATGAACCAGTTATTCATACAAAGAATTTGAATAAAAAGAGTCAGAAACTCACCTAGCTATAAGCAAATGAGAAGTTAAGGAGTTGAACTCTCTTCATCTGAACTTGAATCTACCATCCGCCGTTCTGAAATTGCTGGAAAGAGTCGCTGGCGAACATCCGAAAGTGACTGAAGATTTTCGGGAGCAGCAGAAACGCTTGAAGCCTCTTTGTTTGAATTAGAATTCCTCATAGGCTTTGCTGCTGAACATTTAACCTCCTCTCTGCACACTTTATCTAACATGATCAAGAAATCGCGAACAATCACGAATAAGCGCAAGCCTTCATCCTTCCCTGCATTCCCATGAAAGTAGTCTGTTGTGCTCTTCACAAGAGCCATCATCCTCTTTTCTTCCTCTAACATCCGTGTTGTATCAGCTTCGGCTTTCTCCACAAAACAATTGAGATTTCGATGAAATTCGCTATCTTCATTCAAGTTGCCCATCTCAAGCTTTAGAAAATCTCTTGTCTTCAACAATGAATGGCCCAATCTTGATATAGTAGCCGTTAAGGCCTCGGCATCTATCACTGCTGCCTTTCTGACATCTTCAAGTTCACTGCTTAAACCTGAGACCACCTCGAGTCCAAAACTACGATGCTGCTCCGTGGAGCTTGCCTCAGCAACGTCCTCGAGGAAGTCATCAGTCTTCACGCTGGACATGCTCCCACTTGCTCTGAGTGCGCGCAAAGCTTTTGCACCCTCGGAACGGATTATCTCCTTCACAACAAAGTGCAAAAGCGTTGTCTTTCCATCGGTTCCCTTTACATCAGCAAGTTTCAAGAGTGTGTCAAGCCTAAATGCTTGCGCACCACCCCGGTAGGTTCCATCATTCATGCGATTGCCAGTCTTAAGAACTGCTTCTAAAAGCTTAAAGAATAGCCTGCTGCTTCTGAGTTTGTTGCAAGCAACCTACCATTTAAGATGAGGCATAATTAAATAATTGAAACAACATATTGGTCTCAATACAGTACTAAAGCTATATCCAAAAAGGATTTGTAGATATCAAGTTATTTATGTGACATTAAATCATATTACCTCCAAAGTTGCGAAGGATTCTTTAATGCTAGAGGATTCCTCCTGAAAGGAACACATGAACAACAATGACTCTAGTCGTTTAAAGGCAAATGGGATGTCAACCAAGACTTTGAGGAACCGCTCCGCAGGGCCAAGTTGAGAATGGTCACCCGTGAACAACCTGAGCTTTAGTTCCTCTTCGGCTGTTGGGCTGACCTTCAAGAGCGTCTGGAGGAGATCTATTGGAAGCTCGTTGCCTGATTCATGAATATGTAAACTAGTGAGACCTTTTAAACTAGACAACTGAAGTCTAAATATGAAAAGATGCTTTAGAGAGAAAGAGACTCGCCTTCGCAAAGGGCGTCGACAACTTCTTCTGTTGTCACATTCAGTGCTCGCAAAAGAATTGATAGATTTTGTGCTTTCTTAGTTTCAATTATCTGAATGTACTGAATAGGCTCTAAAGTCGACAACTCTTTCTTGCGTTCATTTTTGTTCTTGTCCACAGTGGTATAACCAAATAGAGACTCTATCATCTCCTCATTAAACCTGCATAAAAGTCAGTGGTGACTAACTTGCCTGTGCGTTTTTTGATTAGTTAACAAGAAAAAAAAAGAATCTATATTTCGTAATAGAGTCATGTAGCCTTACTGGAATGACCCTGCACTGATCTCATGCCAGACCATTGATTGGTCAGTATTCATGAGAATGGTCTTGTCCCAAAAGAATGGCTTCAACTTGGCCTTCTGAGATCCAGATTCAGCATCAGAATCATCACCGCGAGTAGAATCACCGTGCGCTGCGCGAGGTGGTTTCAAATGAGGCTGGCTTTTACCAGGCATCGCTTTTGGTGGAGCGGGCGGGGGGCGGACTAACTTTGGAGGCGGAGGAGGGCGAGGTCCAGGAGGAGGAGGTGGTGGAGCAGATTTTCCGGGCGGAGGTTTCAGTGGAGGAAGTGGTGCTGATGTTGTGGCTTCAGATAATTCATGATTTTCAGATTTCATGGAAAAATTGCTCTCAAACTTTTGGCTGCTTGCACGAAATTCTTTGTTACTGGAATTTCCTAAACTAATAGATTTCTGTGATGAACCTGCAACGTTAAAATGATATTAAAAACATGCCATGGAATCTTTAAAAGTACTTTTAAGTAAAAATAAAAACCAACAGAGTCGTATATACCAGTGGAAAAATCATTTGAGGCCAGGGTGAGAAGAGGTCTCTCGTCTTTATATCGATCTCCGTTTTTGCTACTCTTCTTCAAACAACACAGCAGAAGCAGGGCAAAAACAGAACATATTCCCACCACAGATCCAACAGTAGCAAATTTTCTCATGCCATTGCCACCATGATTTGATAAAGGATGAGGAGGAGGTGCAGAATGTGTATGGCGCAAAGGTGGCGGGGGAGAGTTGATAAAATCTAGTGGGAGAAAGTCCTCTTCTGGAGCCTCAGGTGGTGGAGAATATTTTTGGGGTGGTGAAGGTGTTGGAGCTGAGTCAATCATATCTTGCCACTGAAACGGGTCTTCTGGAGCCTCAGCTGGAGGCTGAGAATAAGGAGAAATGAAGCTGGCAGGTGCTGGAGCATTGCTCGGCGGTGCAGCTGCATGTGCTATGGCCTGCTTTCGGGTGCGTCTTCGTGATGTTGACTGAACCGCCATGGTTGCCAAATATCTCCTAGGAGTACCTGACCAACCAAAGAGCAGCTCAACACACTTCATGAACCACCTGCAACTACTTGTCTGTCTATCAGAACCATGAAACAGAACGTTTTTCTTTCTTAAGCAATCGAAAATCTTTTGTTTTGTGTGTAGAGGCAGATTTTTTATTGCTTTGTGTATACTTCTTTCGGTTAAAATTGCAGACTTGGGGTCACTCCTTGCTTCTTCTTGTGGGATGTACAAGTCAAAAATTTTGACCGTATATTTCCTGTCTATCACTTTCCTGCAGTGAATCCATGCAAGCACCGCCTGTAGTCGAAAAATATCAAGTTAAAAAGGCATGAAATGTGTCTTATATCAAGTGAAAGTGAATACGTATCTATGACTCATACAACATAAAGAAATTTTAAAAAGGTAAAACAGCAAAAAAATGTGCACGCGGTTGAACATCTGCAAAGAAATTCTTCAACCTCGCATACGTCTCGCACATAAGTCTCATAATGTCGTATGCATAAACCAAAATGACCATCTTGACTAAATTTCTCCTGTTTAAGAGCAAATAAAATCTAGTAGCTATTCTTCTGACAATAAAAATATTGTTCTCAACAGAATACATTGCAGAAAAGCAAAATGTGTTGCAGAATCTGTTCATGTCCTTACTATCCCGCTTTAATTCCTTAAATGCTCAATGATATTAAGTTTTAAAACACAATAATCTCCTCCATTGATCATCGGTGTTTAATTTTGGATAGGAAAAATCCAATGATACTATAGAAACAATAAACATTTTTGTAAACAATAACATTTCTCTATGCCTCAGATTTTCAAATGGAGAATCCGAAAATAGGACAATCTTTCTAATCTAGTCATAATCACAAAAAAAAAAAAAAAATTGTTGGAAAGGATTAAAAATAACTTTCAGGGTCAAAATAAAATTTTTGTTTCATACCATATTTTCGTCCATTTCCTGCGTAGCCAAACCATTTGTGCTTCTGAAAAACGTTTCAAGTATTTTCCTGTTTCCCTCAGAGTCCTTTATCGCCAACGCCCAAATCAGAACAACAAAAACAACCGCATAAACGACTCTTCTCAATACCATTGATTTCCGAATTACTACTCCGTCCATGTATTTTCCTTCTCATTTCATCGAATTCCCAGACCATTCAAAAAACAATCTTCCTCTTATAATAATATATTGCCTCGTGTATTATTGTATTTTAAACTTTGACAATAACCCACGTAAAATTCATCAACTTTACGCAAAACCCACGTGAAATTTATCTACTTTACAGAGGAAATTTTGGAATGGAAATGTATTTGTACAATATCATCAATGTGGTAATGAGAAAATGAAGATTAACAAAAATGTCGTTCACAGCTCTAATCCAGATGAAGCTAATATAAAAACTGACAACAATGTTTTTTTTTTAACCAAAAAAAACTAACGACACTGTTAATGATAAATATTTTTAGAATTAAAAATGATTTTTGTATTTTGTTGGGATTTTTATTTTTTTATTCAGATGCTTCTTGCTATACATAGAGAGAGAAAGAGAATGACGCGTCACGCGTATTAGGGAAATTAGGAGAACAATGTGGGACACCTATAATTATTTTGGAGTTTTTTTTACTCTCGTGCCCCTAAAGATTCTTTTTTTTTTTTTCTTTCAGAATTTCCTTCACATTTCTTATTTTCTATTCCCCTACTATTTTTTTCTCTTTTATTATTATTAATATTAGAGATGATGCAGCAACCCAAGTACTGTAACTAATATTTTAAAAATGAATATTTTTCCCCTTGATAATGGTTTATCGCAGGAGCTTGTTTTCTTAATTAGCATACTACTTGTTAGTTGTTACCAGTTATCCCCTTTATAGTATTAGCAAAGAGAAAACAGGAAACTGCTACATCTTGCATTAAGTTTGTTTGGTAAGGAAAAAAAATAAGAAAGCAACATATATAACCTAGCTTTCAAAAAAAAAAAAAAAAAAAAAAAAAAAAAAAAAAATTAAAAAACCTAGGTAGGGGTAACCTAGCTAGGTGAGGAAAATGAAAAAAAAAAAAAAAAAAAAAAAAAGGGAGGAATTTTTTTCCTTTAATTGTGTTTTGTATGGATTCGCTACTCTAATCCTTTATAGTAAGAGAGACTAAAATAGAAGTTATATGAATGATTAATTGAAACCAATTATATATTCTCTTTTATTTTCTTTCCTATCAAAAACCTGTAAGTTCTATGATTATTTGAAAACATTGATGCCGTGGTGTTGTTACTGAGTCAAAGATTTCCTGGAGTATCAATTATCAGTTCAGTTAAGCAAAGCATTTTGACTTAACAATTGTTTTGATGAGTCCAATATGTGAATATTATTTCGAGGTCAAAGTTGTCATCAAGAGGAGAGTTTATGAACACAAAATAAATAAAGAAGTATAAAGAGTTTTTGCAATAAATAAATATAGAGTTGGAAGCCCTTCACAAATTCTGAAAAGGCTCGTTGTCAAGCATACTTTTCCACTATTGCAATCCAAGCACTTCTTAATCAAGATTTGCTGGGATGGTTAAACTCCAATCACGAACCAAACTCTAGCACTTTTTTTGGAAGAAGCCTATACATTTTATAACCATGACTTTTTATAAGTTTTGTACAAGCCCTCATGAATGATGGATAAATAGTTCTCAGTTCAAATTTTCAAGGTTCCAGTGGCTTTGTGTCTTTAAGTAGCCAATACTTAGGTGAGGTCCAACGGGTAAGGTTGTCTCTTTTTTCAAGCCACTAGAACTATCATTCCTTGTTGAATTCCTATGCAAAGAGAAAAATAAAACTCAATTGTATGTGTTTAAAGGGTGATTAATGAGTTCAAGAATGTTTCTCGTAACCCAACAATCAAAAAATAGTACCGGCACATTTGGTTCATAAGTTTAAATAAATTTATAAAAAAAAAATACTGTAGTAAAAATGTTTGAATTTTGTTCAAATCCGTGTACCGGTACTAACGAAACACGGTACCTCTCTGTGCTAGATTCTATGGCCTCTTCAATCATCAAGCTCATACCTTTTGTGTAAGCAGAAGTCATCTATAAAACATATTAATTACAGTCAGAAATATCAAGGGAAAAAAATGGTCTTTATCAGATTTTTGGTAGCATGATTAGTTCCTCTTTATCAGATTTTTTTTTAGGATGATTAGTTTACTGAGCAACTTTACATGCAAAAGTGAAGATCTAAAATGCATGTCGTTTTCTAAGTTCAATAGGGAGGAAAATATTACATATTCTTTCAGCTTCTCTATTCTTCCAATTGCTTCAACAAGGTATCCTTGGAGCCGCTCAGCTTCGTTGACTGAGGTTATCTTCTTCTTAACTGGATTATAACACCTTAACTGCCCCCCAAAAAAAAAACAGAGAGAGAGAGAGCAAATGTTGTTATCTTGGAAAGTTATAAGTTCTCACATCATATGCATATATATATATATGTATGTATGTATATATATACAAATATATGGCTATATATATATAAAAGAGGGCTGAGAAATAGCATGATCAAACGGACCTCATCTTCTCCTTGAGATTATCGAGTTTGTCCCTAAGAGTCTACGATGACAACAAGAAAATAATTGTTCATTAATCCACTTGTTGGTTTTTGTTTTCTTTGTAGACAAACTAACCTCTTTTTTTTTCTAATTTTTTTTACCTCAATTCTGAGCTTGTCATGCCAAAACGAATGAGCATCATCTAAAGGAAAGAAAGCAAGAAATAAAATGCCATTAGCAAACATGAAAAAAAAGGTCAATGGAAAACCAACATCAACAAGTCTATTCTTGAAGTGTCAGAGAGAGAGGAAAGAGAGTCAAACTTCTCTATCTTTTCCAGCATTTCGGCTTCATACTTCAAATGCTTGCTGCTTCGATCGATATGCTGAAATGTACAAAACAAGGCCTTAATTTCATTTGTAAATATATATATATATATACATACATATATATATATAGAGAGAGAGAAAGAGAGAGAAGTCTTGTAGTTACTTACATCTTCATTGGCAAGTCTGCACATTCAAACAGGTTCCAGCAAAAAGTACATGAATGCAAAACGACATATCAATTGTGAGCAAAAAAGAAAAAAAAAACGAAAACGACATTTCAAAACACACTCAACAGAAACAAATACAAAGGGCAGTACCCTCCTCTAAATTGACCAGGTTGCTCAAGATAGCGAAGAAACACATCCTCTATCCTACAAAATCCAAAATGGTAATCATCATATCAGATAAATCTGAGAAAACCAACATGAATAATCTCAAAGATAAATCATTTAAACATAATTATTCAGAATTTTTCAAGGGAAAAAAAAAGATCCTGGATTTTGTTCCTTCTACTCAACCTGCCATTGCTGGAGAAACTAGTCAAACGGCCAGCAGGAGAAAACATTACAAGGCCAACATCCACATCACATAGCGTTGGATTCCCATATAATGAAACTTGGTTTATATATATCAGATTAAGTTATTCAGCTAAATGTTCTTTACTGAGAATTGGTAATCATAACGACAAGTCGTTTATAGCTGTTATCAGGCTTTGTCGTATGAAGAATCAAAAGCGGCCGCGTTTTGGTTAATGAAGCTTGAGGTGCTGACATGGATATCAGACTGAGAGAAATGCAATCTGATTGGTTAGTCTCCAACGGTAATCTTCTTTTGTAATGTAGACTTATAAATTCTCAGGAGAATAACAGAATTGGGCAATTTTCAGCAGGAGAGAGAAATTGAGTGAATCTTGTAACAGAAAGAGCCTAAATGAGAAAAAGGGGTTAGAGTGAGAAACAGGAGAGAGAAAAGGTAATATATTCTCGTTAGTTTTCTTGCTTGATTTTCTCATAAAATTTGGGTTGTTCAGATTCTATTGTAATTTCTCTTAGATAATCTGATTGTAATCATCTGATTATTATTAGTGCAAGTCGAATTTTTTTAGGGTGTTCGTAGAGAGATAAGCATCAATTGGTCGAACTCTGAAATCAATTCCGGTGTTCTTGTTTTTCCTTCTTCTTCTTCGTTAATTTCTGTTTGAAATCTGAGATTGGTGTTGGGGTAATTTCCAACTCATGGAATTGATAATTCCGTGGCCTTCTTGCTAATAGTATCTCTATGCTTAGAATATGCTACTTCAAGTGACTTAGGACTATTAACTTTCATCCTCACACGCTTTTGCCTACCCATTATCAACACCAATAAAAATAAAAAAATAATAATAAGAGAGAGAGGAGAAGAGAAGATGAGAAGAAAGATAATTTTTAGAAATTGTTGAAAAGAAATGGTACTTAATTTTGTTTTCTGGATTTATTAGCATGCACGTCTATTTGCTACTCTAAAGATAATTTGAGCGTGTTTGGTATAAGTTCCGTTTTCATTTTTCACGTTTTCTGAGAAAAAAAATAGAGATTTAGAAAGAAAATGCGTTTAGAAGAAAAAAAGTAAAAAAAAAAAAATGAGACGTTTGGTTCATGAATTAGAATCATGTGATTATAACTATTTTCGATTTACGTGTATTTTTTGTGAGAGAAAACACTGTAGCGAATCATGAATCATGATTCAAATCATAGTTTGAATCCTCCAACCAAACATTAGTTACAAAATCACTTAGGAGACGTTTGGTTCATGGATTAGACAACCCAAAGTCCCGTTTGGTTGGAGGATTCGTTCTCTGATTCGAATCATAGTTCATGACTCGCTACAGTATTTTTTCTCACAAAAAATACACGTAAATCGAAAATAGTTCTAACCTCATGATTCTAATCCATTAACCAAACGAGCTCTTAAAAACTGAAAATGAATTTAAGTCATTTTTCATTTCCAATTTTGAGTGGATGCTTTTTTTTAGGCAAGTGGGTGTGGACTTAAATGAACTAACAAAGTGCCCTTAAATTAAAAATAAAAATTGTATAACTAAACGGAGTTTTAATTTTTTCTTATACTAAAAAGAATCTCTTAATGAAACTACTAAACACATTTTCAAAAACAAGTTCTGTCCAAAATTAAAAATGTTTTTATTTTTAATTTCATAAAAAAAAACAGAATCATTTTGAAACTAATTTCAAAAGTACTAAAAAAATCTCAAAATAGTAATACTAAAGCCACCAATTTTCTAACGGTGAGCACCGCTTGCACTGCCGTTAAATTAGACAATTTGTTAGAGCAAAGCAATATTCCAACCTCCTAATCTTAAAAAAATCAGAAGAAAAAAAAAAAACAAAAACAGGAAATTAGAAAGAAAGTTTATTCCCTTTCGCCAAAAACTACACATCGTCTAAATCAAACATGTCTCAACGAGTCGTTCTCTCGTTAGAATATTATACCTCCGATAGCTGCATAAAGTTTAAGTAATTAAAGGGAAGCATATAAAACTTATAAATACGTATCTATTCGACTGGGGGAATATGGATAAAAAATAAAAATAAAAAAGAATAAATTTGTTACATTCTCCAAATTTAACGAGCTCAAAGGCCTTAATTGCGGAACCAAGCTTACTGCCCTGTATTATGCAAGCTCGGCATGAACGGGAATAATAACAGACTTTCATTTTATAGATATTAATTTTTTATTTTTTTAAACAGAAATTACAGTAAACAAACAAGTTTCAAAAAAAAAATTCTTCAATTATTTGTTTTATAGGTTTGAACTGTGATTCAAACTTTTTCGTTATAATATTTACTTTATTAAGAGCATATTTTGCTATAATACAAAGTATTGTATCAAAATCATTTTATCCTTTATAAATTTAAATTTTTATTCAAACTTGTGAAACCAATTATTTGCATCTTTCTCTCTAACGAAAAAATAACAAATAAATAATTGCGAAGTTTTGAATGGACTAACTGTAATTATGCTAATTATTTTATACTTTTAGCTAAAATAGTTAATGATTTAACTTTCTTTTATAGGTCTTTATCTACTCCAACTATTAGTTAAAAATGATTAATCATTTTGGAGAATGACTTTCACACTAACTGTATATAGTTAGTATGGAAAGACTAACCATTCAATTTTTTGTATTATTTTATTCTTTCAATCGACGTAAATGCAAACGTTCACTGTGGCGTTTGGTTCATGGATTTAAATCATGTGATTAGAATCATTTTCGATTTACGTGTATTTTTTGTGAGAAAAAATACTGTAACAAATTACGAACCATGATTTAAATTAGGAAACGAATTTAAGTACCAAACGGACTTGTTCGATGAACAATTCCAGACACTAGCAATAATCCCACTTTCTTTGTAAATTGTTCAGTATTTCCCCTAAATTTTTAGATATATAAATTTTTACAAAATACAAAGTTCATGCGGGGATGTAGCTCAGATGGTAGAGCGCTCGCTTAGCATGCGAGAGGTACGGGGATCGATACCCCGCATCTCCAATAAGATGTTTTCATTTTTATTATTATTATTTTTTAACTCTCTTTATCGACATCGTCGTTTCGCTTGTTTTCAATTTTACTCGCCAAAAGTCCCTTCCTTTTGTGCTGGGTTTGCAGTCAGATGGCCGAGGTTCAGCCGTTCAGGTAATTTCTTGAAGTTATTTTCCTTTAAAGTTCATTCCTTTTTAGGTCTTTGGTGAGATTCTTCCATGTAGTCCCCTTTGTTCTCTTTTGTATGGTAAAATACTTTGGCCAACTTTTTGACAGGAAAAAAAAAAAAACCCCAGAGAGAAAGAGGATTTTTATTTTATTTTATTTTTTTACAAGTAACAAACATAATTTCTAAGCTTATTGTGAGTACCATCATAATAACAAAGTGGTACATCAGGATATATGATATACATGCAGATATTCTTTTATTTAGAAAACTGGGCATATAGAAGCACCAGACTGCCATGCTATATATGGCAATTATTTGCTCTTCAGATCCATACACTCTATTTGCTTCTTTTTTATTTGGATTTGGTTTCATCTGAACCTAAAGAGCCTGCTGATGTAATAAAGAATCCCACCAACAGGAGTGACACTCATATCCGTTGCTTTATCCCAAGGGAACGGCTTCTCTGGTTTGGTCGCTTCCAGAATTTCTTCAGTTGGAATTTCTGGTTTTGAAGGTTCTAGTGGAACTATATGGTGGCCGTACTTTTCTGGGTCTGGACAAAAATCCTGCAAAACATTGGGATTCATTGGGAGTGAGAAGAAAAAAAAAATGAAATTCGCCAGAGAATTTGCCAAAAAAACAACATTAGAAAGTGAAATTAGCGAAACGACCTTTTTTATTTTTACACTGAACGATCAACCGGAACCGGATCGCTCAGTGTAAAAAATTGGTCGCTCGGCGTAAATTCCAATCTCATTTTGCAAATAACTATTTACAAACAATTAGATATGATGAAGGAGCATTTTCTTTGAAGGTTGGTTACCTGATCAGCATGCATCTTCCTCACAAATACCTTGAACAAATCGAACTTTGTCTTTTCTAGGAGTTCAGGTGATAGACGAAGGTAGGTCACTCCATACATCTTCAGTTTTGGTGGGCCCTCTTTGTTAACACCATTTGGTCTAGCGTTTAGAAGGATTTGGTCATAGGCATAATTATCATACCTTGGCAGTGCATTCTCCCCAGCAACTTCAGTGTTCTCTCTCCAGCACCCACTCAAAGCCTGCACAAACATGTGCAAGTGGCTTTACTGTACTTTTCATTCAGTAGGTTTGATTGGAACCGACGTTCGAGTTGTCTATAGTTTTTAAATTGCTGAATTCTCAGTTAGGATGTCTAGTGAGCTTGAAAACCTTGTTTGCATCATGATCTGAAGTTAAGTCTCTAGTTTTTACCTGCTGCACAAGTTCCTGAGGCGCGCTTTTTGCATCTGCACTTTGTTCAATGTTCCTCATTTCTAAACATGTGAAATTGAAGATGGCACGGTGCCTTGAAAGCAGTCTTGCTACTGGTCTATATCCATCTCTGTCGTCCAAGTTGTAGTATCCTGCAGTAACCTCCGCAGCATGACTCGGATGTCTATACCACCAATGCATTCCGGAGACCTGTTTCGGTGACGAAACATAAAGCATTAGTTCGAAATTGATTGGAAGAGGGTAGATACTATGGTTAATCTCATATTTAGTCCCTGAATTTTAGGTCGAATCTTTTATTTTGGTCATTGACTTTTAGAACGTCCCAGAATGAGTTCCTAATCTACTGAATTGTTGTAATTTACCTCTTTTGTCCATCCAATTGTTAAAATCTCAATGGAAAAAAGAACGGCTTCCCTTTTAATAATCGTGTTATTATGTCCATCCAACTTCTGAAACATCTTATCAGAAACCACACATGGTCCTCAGGTACCTTTTTAAGTCGAGATCTTAATAGTTGGATGGATGGAAAGTCTAATTTAGGATAACTTGATAGGTTGAGTGCTTGTTTTGAGGAATTTGGCCTGTAGTTAGAGGAGTAAGAGCGGGATTACCCTAAGTACCAATAACAATTGAGCTTTGACACTATGAGACTTACTTTGATTGCTAACACTAGTTTGCAGCCAAGAAAAGCTTTGTTCGCTTCCTCCAGGATCTGATCAGCATGCTTCAGGAGTTTGTTAGAATACCAAGTCAAGAAGAACTTCCCTTTCTCGGTAAGGTATGTTCCATTTGATCGAAAGAACCCTGTATCATCTGGTTTATTATTGTATTCCCCTGCATCATCTGGCAATTCCCATTCAGGATGGCCTGCACGTGTTGCAGCCGCTTTGAAATCCGCTGCTAGATATTTGTCATAGCACTGCATATGTTACATAACATGTTTTAGTCTTAAATTTCCTTAAATTGGAAATTGAAATGCCAGAGGAAAAAAAAAAGAAGGAATTCATTCCACCTGAAATTCTCCAATACCAGGAAAAACCCATCCTTGACTTTCTGGATAAGACGCGTACCGGAGCTCTCCTGCAGGGCCCATTCCCACTTCAATGTCTAAAAAAAGTCCCCCGTCAATAAAATCTGACATAGTCTCTCTGAAGCTCTTCATGTAATCTCTGTACAACTGTGGAAATGATAAAAAATTAAAAAGAAAACAAAGGTTTTAGGATGAAGTTAACAGGATGAGTGTATTATGAAATTTGGATCGTGATGCTAATAGAATACGGTTACATTGAGTCTATGAACACAATAAAAGGATTAAAAACTTGATCATTCAATAGTTAACCAAGTTCCCTAGCTAGTACTGTTAGATTACATGTTTATTTTTTTTTTCCTCAGAACAAGTACTGAGTATACTTGATCGTGCAGAGTTGCGTACAATATAATGTAATGACCATGTTTTGTTTAAGATTAATAAAGGAAATGATGACGTTTTAATAATCGAACAAAAGAAAGGGGAAGCAAGGAAAACAATGACGTTTTAGATAAATGAATCAGCCGAACGCATGTAAGGGTTTACTGCAGAATCTGCTAGTTATTATGATCGTAAGGCTTAAGGCCCTGGCGCATAGGGAGGCTGAGGTATTCACAATTAATTGCCCTTTTCAAATTACAGACAATGAATAGTTTAACAAACACATATATCTAGCATTAGACCTATCAATTATTAGTTTTAGTTAATTATTAGTGTTACTCAATTTTCTTTTTCGTGTTTAGACAGAGAAAAATCAAGAATGAAACGAGTAGCAGTTGTCGGGAATCTTGTACAGATTTTCATCCCAACAGTCCCGACTAACATAATGAAGTGAGCTTGAAACTTACCTCTACAGCAGTTCGTCCATGAAACAGGGGCTGATTATCCACCCCTAGACTGAGGTATTCTGGGTTCCTGTTACCTTTCCGGTTGGTGTAAAAGATATGGGGATTCGATTCTCCGACGTCACGAACCCACTTAGGGATCGGTATATAAACGACATCTCCAACATTGCCACCACATTGGTGGAATGACATTATAGCTTGCAGTTTCAGTCCAGAGTCTTGAACCAGTTGAAACAACCTCCTGTAACCACTCCAGTCATACTGCTTTGGTCCTTTGGACTCCACGATCCCCCACCAGACATCAGTCATGACCCCATCGATACCGGCCGCTTTCAGCTCCTTAAGGTTTTTCTCCAGAGTTTCTCTGTTTCCTACAACATTATCCGGCGTAACAGCATCCAACTGGCAGGCAAAGATTTACAAGGTAAGCTCAAACTAATGATAAAAATCATCTTATAATATAGTTACAGTATATCTATGTTAACCCATCGATTCTAATTAAGTTGGGATCAAGATTTGTTATTGTTATTGTAGTAGGATATATCTATGTCATGATAATGTTCAGTGACTTACCGGAAGCATCACATAGAGTGGCACATAGTTTGCCAGCAGTTTCTCATTGTTTGCCTGCATTTTTTTTTTTTTTTTTTTTTTGAAGTAGAAAGGAAAGTATTTAGTGTGTTACTTTTGGGAAATGGAAAATGGAGATGATACAAACTGCTTCAGTCCTCCTTGCTTTTTATAGAGTAAAAATCAGACTTGTCAGTGTCTACTGGGATCTCATCTCCCCAGGAGCAAGACGTGTGTCGATCATTGTGATCCGGGTTCGGCCCACTATCTGGGCTATATGATAAAAAAATAAAAAATTATTTCATGCATTATCACTTGTGGGGCCTAGACGCGACGCCCAAACCCGTCCACAGTGGAAAATCATGCTAGCTTGATTTTTTTTCTTAGAAAATGATGATTTTTACTTTTTAGTTTGAAAATATTTAAAAAAAAAAATTTATATCATGATTTAAATTATAATTCGTGATTTATTATAATATTTTTTTTTATAAAAAATATATATAAAATAAAAATAATTTTAAATTATAATTTTAAATTTATAAATTAAACGTCATGTCTAAAATAGAGAGCTTTATTTTTTGAATGACCTTACGTCCTTACCTACCAAACACGTGACATTATTGAACTGAAAAGATATCTACGGTGACATTTATTACCCAAAAAAAAGAATTGTATATTTCAGTTGCCCATTATGAGCCAAAATTATTGAGAAAAATTTCTTAGCACTTGCCTTTATTGGAAACAATTCCTGAGCTGCTCTGATTATGACATTGATATTTGACGGTGAGGAAAAAAGTAACCTTTTTTAGATGATAAGAGAGTAATTTGCCCACAAGAAAGACTTGTGCATGTGAAATATTGGGTCGACTACTATACCTCTCGTCCCGTGGTGGAAATTTCAGAAGCCACAATTTTAGGAGTAGTCCTGATAATACTGCTTA